CAGGGCAGTTGAGATGGGATGTGGGGAAGAATTTCTTTGCTGCAAGGGTTCTGAGGCATTGGAAGGGGTTGCCCAGGGCAGTGGTGGAGTCCCCATCCCTGGAGGGATTGAAGAGTCGTGTAGACACAGTGCTGAGGGACATGGGTTAGTCATAGGGGACTGGTCAGTGTTGGGTTCATGGTTGGACTCCATGACCTTGAAGGGCTTTTCCAATCCAGGCCATTCTGGGTTTGATTCTGAGGGGCCCAAAGTGCTGCAAGCAGAGCCCACTCCCATGGTGGCACCTCAGCCAGCAGCATCCCCCAGCGTGGGGGATGAACCCCAGGGCAGAGGTGAACCCCCCTCATCTTCCCATCAGATTTTGACTTTTCAGACACCCCAGTGATACGAAGCAACCGAGCTGCGTGGGTGACACGCTGAGAGGTGACCCATGGGATGCTCTGGTCCCCCCAAGGGGGATGCAATGCGGGGCCTCAGCCTTCAAATGCAGAGAGGATCAACGGAGCAAGGGACCTGGCAAACAACCTCATCCAAACCCGCTGCGTTAACACCCTTCCCTGATGCCAAAGCAGTTGGCAAAGCAGTGCTGGTGGCACGGATCCCCATTTTGCAAAGCTCTTTGCTCCAAGCTTTAAATAGCATCCTCCCCCGGCAAGCGCCCGCAGGAACCGGCCTGTCTGGACTTGTGTGCAGGCGCGAGAAATGGGTCAGTGCCTGATTTAAGCACTCTCAGAGTTAAGAACATGCCCGTTTGCAGGATTACCTCCATTTTCTGACTTCTGAGAGATATCAGGGATCTTCCACAATATCCTTTGCTGTTCGGCGTTCCTAAAAACACATGAAGAAGAGCATTTCTGTAGGAAACAAGAAGTCATGAAGGAGAGCTCTGGATTTTACTAAAAGCCGCGTGGGTTGGGGGAGCAGCTCCAGTGCTGCTTTCCAGAGCTGCAATTCTGGGAGCTCAGCTTTGGGTTTGCCCCAAAGAGCAGAAAATTGTGGCTCTTGGATTGCAGGTGGGTGAGAGGCAGCGGGGCCGTGCCCGGCTTCCCCACCGCAAACCTGCGTCCCCCACGCCTACGGCAGCGATGGCCATGTGAGCCTTGCATAAAAGTGGCTAAAAACATGAAATAAGGGTTGTTATTCTGCTGCCTGCACATGTGTTCAACTCTGACTGCTTGGTTTTGGGAATGGCATGAAAAAAAAGACATCAGAGATGGGCTGCATGCTTCCTCCTGCAAGAAGAGGACAGGTTTGTGTCCCCAGCGTGTCCCCAGCTCCCACCCGCAGACGTGTCCCAAGGGTGATCCTGGTCCCGCAGCCAGCAGGATGGCTGGTTTGGGCAGGGATGTGGCAGAGACAGCAAACGAGCTCTTTCTCAGGTGAGCCATGCCTACCAGACAGCAGGAGGAAGCACAGCTTGAAGTTTGGTTACTCCTCCGTCGACGGGGACAAGGAACTGGACGTTGTTTAGAGCGACCGGTGTGGTCATTGCCTCTGTATTGTATTTGTAGTCAATGCGGAGGTCAGTGCTTGCAGGGTCACACCGCCAGCTCACTGCAAGGTTTAATGGAGTAGACTGAATACCCTGGGCAGATACCTTCCAAAATGACAGAAAAAACATTTAGTTTCCATAGGGGTGAAGGGAGAAATCCCATTTTACAGCCGCGGTAATTGCATTTGGTTTCAGAGGAGACAATAATCCCTTGTATTCTCATAGGAAATTGGTATTGGGCTCAAAATCAGGCAATTTCATAGAATTATAGACTGGTTTGGGTTGGAAGGGACCTTAAAGCTCATCCAGTCCCAACCCCTCTGCCAGCAGCAGGGACACCTTCCACTAGACCAGGTTGCTCAAAGCCTCATCCAGCCTGGCCGAGAACACTTCCAGGGAGGAGCAGCCACAGCTTCCTTGGGCAGCTCAGGAATTTAGTGACATACAGACAGGACCAGCACCATAGCACGCCCTCAACTCCCATTATCTCCACTCTGCACTAGGGAAATGCCATTTTTTTTTACGTCTATAAGTTAAACACCCATTTTTGGCACAGTTTTATCTTACAAAAAAACCCCTACCTGGTATTTGAGCATATCCACATTGTAATAGGTGGCTTGTGGTTTCTGTTCTGATACCTTCTTTAGGTGAGTCATCAGATTTGGCATGTTGACCCAGAACTCCTTCGTGTTGGCGTCACTCTGTGTGTTGTCACTGCAGAGAGGGAGATTTAACCCTTCGTGTAAGCCACCCGCAGCAGAAGAAAGCTTTTCTACAAAGCATGCAGGGCAGCAGCACCAGCCACCAGCTGGAACCACATTTAAACCCACATTTAGAGAAATATCACCTCCCTCCCACACATCTCTGGCTTGTCCTCAGATCTTTCCGGGGAAGCACAGCAGATACAACCTGTAGGTCAGCTCCTTTGGCAAACAAGAGGTCTAATGAGCAGAGTGAGGCACAAAACGAGCAAAACCCATCAAAGTACTTGCTCCTCTCTGCCGATGCTGAGCTGCCTGGTCAAGGGGGTGCTCTCAGGGGAAGGACTCTGGCAAATATTTAAGGGTTTGAGAGTTTCCTTCCCAAAATCAGGGCGGGTTTCCAAGAAAGATACTTTGGGCCGTGTGTTTTTTGCAAAGCACCCTACTTTGCTGGAAACCCGCCTTCCTTTGGAACTGTGCTGGTTTCACTCCTTTGGCTGCAGCCACACACAGCCGCTCGCTCGCTCTCCCCAGCCCAGGGAGTAGGATAGAGAAACAAAAGGGTAAAAGTGAGAAAACTCGTGGGTTCAGCTAGAAACAATTTACTAATTGAGATAAATAATGATAACAACACTAATAACAGAATATGCAAATGAGTGATGCACAGAGCACTTG